AGACCCCAAACAGGCTCTCCTTCCCACCCTCCCCAGCCTTTAGCACTGCTGAGCTGCCCCCTCCGCTGCCCCCCAAGTCCCCCCACCTGCTGTCCCAGTTCCATAAGCCAAGCAGTATCCAGTCCATGCCGCTTCCTCCCACCCCCGGCCTCCCCCAGCCCACCACCGTGGTGGAGACCAGGAAGAAGAGACCCGGCCGAGGCGCAGGTGAGAGCAGCACATCCAGAGAAGGGAGGGTTTTTTTCTCCCTTTGGCTGGTGGGGAAATGGCACTGGTGGCTGGAGAGTTCGGGAGGGTGAGGATGAAGAGCAGACGTAGCAGGGGGGTGAAGTCCATCACGTGGGAGCAATACCTGCAGGTCGCACGACATGTAAGAGACATGATGCTGGCCACACATGTGGTAATAGTTCAATCGGTCATTCTTGAGACCAACGTGCTGGTCGGTGAAAGCAACATTTCAGGACCACTGGGCTGCTGCTCGTGTTTGTGTTGGCGTCAGTGTGTCTCCAGCAGTGCAATGGCTGAGCTCAGGAGTGGTCTCCTAACAGTCTCTGGTAGGGCAGCAGAGTGTACGCCACCATGGCCACCAGATCTGCAGTGGCTGGAGTGCCAGCCTCCCCATGACATCCCTCTGCTGCTGTACCCATGCAGTCTGGAGCAATATTGGCAATGGCTGGGAAATGTTACAGTGGAGAATGAAACAAAGATGGGGCAGCTACAGCCATAGACGAGCAAAGGCAAATACAGATGCAGCCCTCTGCTTTGAAACACAGGGGAGCAGCCAGTGCCTCCCATGGCCAGGCTGGCAGGGCCAAAGGTTTCTCTGACTACTTGGGAGGCAGGGCTATTAGCTAGTGTTCCCCTGAGCAGATGGTAGAAGGAACTTTTATCAGCCCGCTGTGATATAATGACAATAATAAAAAAAATTGAGCCTATATCTGTGTGGGCTTGAGAAATGAAGACAGCTACTTAATAAGGAACATCTGAAGAGAATGTTCTGTACCCTGTATTTTAGCAGCCAGCTGTCGAGAGAAAGATTACTGGTTGCCTTTGACAGCCATGGGGGAAAGGCCGTGTAAGTACAGATCAGGTGCTTCGTGACGGTGATTAATGCTGCTCGGGAACTGCCTGAGGAGCTGTGACGTTGTCGAGGTGCCTGTTTCTCATGGTAGTTCAACTTTTGAGATTTCCATAAGATTAGCCTGTCTTTCTCTTGGGGGAGAAGCAGTTTTGAGAGGCTGTGAACTTGGAGGCCTTGGGCTCCCTCCCCCTTACAAAGTTCCTGTGGTAGAACTTTGATGGCTCTTGCAACTCCTCAGTGAAATGCACAAGAATAATGGTGATTCTACTGTGTAGCTGCCAAAGTGTCAGGAAATTATTTTCTTTTTAGAGATACCACCTAGGATGGTTGGGTTTGGTTTTTGTTTTTTTTTTTCTTAAAGAAACTGCTTGTTCTTATGAAAGTGGAAGGATAGTCCTCCCCTCCAGACTGGGGCAAAACCATACTTCAGAATGTCAGACTTCCCTAGAACTAGAAATAGCAAGCCAGCTCCGGTAATGACTTAAATTTAATACTTAATTTATATCCATGGTCAGGCTTGACAAACAGCAGCTACGAAGCTGGGTAGGTTTGCCCCAACCATTGCATTCCTCCTCCACTGCCTCCACTTTTGTGCAAAGCTTATTCTCGGGTGTGTTAAGTCCTGGTGATGTTTATGTGCTGCTTTGCTGCTTCTTTTCAAGGAGTTGGTGCTGGGAAGCTCGTCACACCTCCACAGCCACCAGCAAGGTCACCAACAACCGAACTTACGAGCAAGTCTGGAGTCTCAGCCTGGGCTGCAGCTCACGACCCCTACCCACCGCTTAAAAACGGAAATATGCACATCATTGGTAATGTCATCTAAATTACATCTCTTACCCTTAGTTAATAATTATAGTACAAAAGCCTGCGTGTGTCTCAGACCTCAAAATCTCATTTGAGACTTTCTCATGTCAGTAACAGGGCAGTATAACTAGACACATTAGAAATATTTTTGTACAACCTTATACAATGAGAGAAAATAAAGGCTTTTTCACAAAGATTTTGAATCATCCAGTAGACATGAAAAGCATGTGCTACCTGCAAAATTATTTGAGTTGTGAAACGTTGCTGTAGTGTGCTTCTATTACCATTCTTAAAACCAGTTCATGGACATTTAGTAGCTTCAATCCTATAGAGCAAAGACTGCTAAGAATTATTTTTGTGATCTGATGAATTGGCCGTTCATTCTTTCTTAGATCTAAATGGCTTGAAAACCACCTAGGAATATCTCCATTACCACAGTATCACCAATGCAGAGAACTGGAATGGCAGTCAGAAGTTTAACTTTTCAGTTAGTAGCAGGCAGGTTCGCAATTATGCCAGAAACTTGGATGGCTCACAGAAGTACTCATTGAGATTGATAGTGGCTCATCCCATGTAAGCAATTCCAGGGGGAAAAAAGTCAGCATTTTTAATTGAAATTACTTGTGGCAATGTGTGGGGTTTTTCATTTTTCAGTATGTAACAGAGACTAATGTTTATTTCCCTGAAATTTCTCAGATGACTTCGAATCGAAATTCACTTTCCATTCTGTGGAAGATTTCCCCCCACCTGATGAATTCAAGCCATTTCAGAAAATATACCCCAGCAAGATAGCTAGGGGTAAGTATATAAACATGAGAAGGTGGGATAATTATCCAGTAGGATTAAAAACACAGAATTATAATAAGGAACAGAAATAACTATTAATGTGAAGAACTGGGTTGCTAGCATAGGCACAGGGAGGAGTCGGATTTGTTACAGTGGTAACAGGGACCAAAGATACTTAAAAGTACTTAATTAATTACTTTAAAGTCTCAGTAGCTATAAATAAAACACTGTGGCTCAAAACACAGTCTGTGTTCTTTAGATTGTTGAATTTGAAGAGCCCTGTTAAAAGCAGTGATGTCACATAAACAGACTTGGGCAGGTACCGAGCTGGGGTTTTTTGTTCATGAACTTGTGAAAGAAAGGTGACCTGATCCATGTCTTCCATCTCGTGTTTTGATTGAAATCCTATGCACGGCGTTTTACACACCTGAATAACAAAGGGACTTGGTACCTGAACCTTGTCAGGAAAGCAATGAATGAACAAACCTTGCTTCCCTTCCACCTTTTAACTTAGAAACTTGGCATCAGGTCACTGTTGTAGGAGCAGAAGTTTATCTGTCCAGCTTTGAAAACTGGTAGTTGAAGGTGCCAGAAGATTTCGTGCCCACATTCTGCTTTTTTATAAACCCCAGTCTTTTCTGTATTATTAGATCAAGTATTTATCTCCAACATTTTCCTTAAGTCTTTTTTGGTTTCCATGCCAAGGTACTTTGCATGACTTTTCATAGTGGCCTCAGTCAGTCTAAATTATCTGCCATCTTAGGAAAGATGCTTTTGCTGAGGGGCTACAAAGCATGAACAATATAGATACACATATGTAAGGGTAGGAGATAAATGCAGCATCCCTGCTGTAGAACTGCATCCAAAATATGTATTTGTCACCTCTTATTAAACCTGTCCTATCTGTTTACAGATCCATCTAAAAATCCTCCATTAAGAACACATGTGAGATGAGAAGAGTCTTCTGATCCTCTCTGGATTAGTATTAAAAAAGAACAACATGAAGATAACGTATAAAACAGAAGGGGTCCCCATGACAGTGAGAGAGATTATATTTGAATTGCAAGTGCTGCAATGTTAACATTTCCATAAACTGGAAAAGTGGCGTAAATGACACTTTTTGAACTGAGCTACATACTATAGGAATGTTATTACAGGCTTTTAAGTTATTGTATATAAGTGGATATTTTTTAAGCAAAGCAGCCTAAAATTTAAATTCTTTGTAGTGTTGAAATGATTCTCATTCTTGTCATGCTGACAGATGTTACCTCAGAATACTTTTTTGCTTTACCCGCCTGTAGTTCATTTTTCCCCTTCAATCATAATTTTAAATTTTTTTGGAAATTCTCCAGTTATTATTCAGACCTTTTTCAATGAATTATCAGAAACTAAAGTGCTACCACTAGTCTCTTCATATGTTCCTTCACTTCTTCTATTCTGCCTGTCCTCAGATTGCAGCAGAATGTCACTTTCATGAACAGATGGGCCCACAATCCTTTTCTCGTCAAGCACAAAGAGGAAAGAGATGAGCAGGAGCCGTGGCTGCTGTTGAGCCTACCTCCTATTGATTACAGATCCTTATAGGATAGTGTCTGAAGAAGCCCAGCTGGGAAGGGTGATCATGGACTTGACAAAGAAGACAGAACTTTTCCAAACTGGAAGAAAAGAAAGTTGTTCTACTATAAGAAAAAAAAAAAAATAATAGTGTGTGTGAATACACATGCCATGAAATATATATGTAAGGGGCACATGTCCTGTCTTTTCCTGCTGGCAAAGTGAGTATTTACCATTTGTGTGACAGACTGTCTTTACCCAGCAATTAGGAGGCCTTTGGAAGAGGAGTCCAACACCTACGTTCTAAACAGGCAACTAGAGCTACTATTGTTCACCCATAGCAGCAGTGAGGATTCGTTATCCAAAATACACCACATGGAACAAGCAGTCCCTGAAGGGCTTGTTCCCTTGAATACAGCTGGTTGAAAAAAGTAACAGCCTAGCAGTGGACAAGACTTGAGCTTCTGTTTTTAAAATGCAGCCTGGGGTAAGGTCCTTGGATCACAGATGTTCAGATGTGGTTGTAAGATGTCTCTATCTGGCAAGAATTACCCTTATTCTTGTGCATTTCTCTGCATTAGGAGGAGTATTGCCAGCTAATTGAGGGAAGTGATCCTTCCTCTCTGCTCTGCACTGGTGAGGCCACACCTGGAGTACTGCATCCAGTTTTGGGCTCCCCAGTACAAGGGAGACATGGACATGTTAGCGAGAGCCCAACAAAGGTCCAGTGGAGCATCCCTCCTGTGAGGAGAGGCTGGGAGAGCTGGGGTTGTTTAGTCTGGAGAAAAGGAGGCTGAGGGGAGACCTTATTGCTCTCTACAACTACCTGAAAGGAGGGTGTAGAGAGGTGGGGGTCAGTCTCTTCTCCCATGTAGCAGGTGATAGGATGAGAGGAAATGGCCCTGAGTTGTACCAGGGGAGGTTTATATTGAGTTGAATTTGAAGAGCCCTGTTAAAAGCAGTGATGTCACATAAACAGACTTGGGCAGGTACCGAGCTGGGGTTTTTTGTTCATGAACTTGTGAAAGAAAGGTGACCTGATCCATGTCTTCCATCTCGTGTTTTGATTGAAATCCTATGCACGGCGTTTTACACACCTGAATAACAAAGGGACTTGGTACCTGAACCTTGTCAGGAAAGCAATGAATGAACAAACCTTGCTTCCCTTCCACCTTTTAACTTAGAAACTTGGCATCAGGTCACTGTCGTAGGAGCAGAAGTTTATCTGTCCAGCTTTGAAAACTGGTAGTTGAAGGTGCCAGAAGATTTCGTGCCCACATTCTGCTTTTTTATAAACCCCAGTCTTTTCTGTATTATTAGATCAAGTATTTATCTCCAACATTTTCCTTAAGTCTTTTTTGGTTTCCATACTTTGCATGACTTTTCATAGTGGCCTCAGTCAGTCTAAATTATCTGCCATCTTAGGAAAGATGCTTTTGCTGAGGGGCTACAAAGCATGAACAATATAGATACACATATGTAAGGGTAGGAGATAAATGCAGCATCCCTGCTGTAGAACTGCATCCAAAATATGTATTTGTCACCTCTTATTAAACCTGTCCTATCTGTTTACAGATCCATCTAAAAATCCTCCATTAAGAACACATGTGAGATGAGAAGAGTCTTCTGATCCTCTCTGGATTAGTATTAAAAAAGAACAACATGAAGATAACGTATAAAACAGAAGGGGTCCCCATTACAGTGAGAGAGATTATATTTGAATTGCAAGTGCTGCAATGTTAACATTTCCATAAACTGGAAAAGTGGTGTAAATGACACTTTTTGAACTGAGCTACATACTATAGGAATGTTATTACAGGCTTTTAAGTTATTGTATATAAGTGGATATTTTTTAAGCAAAGCAGCCTAAAATTTAAATTCTTTGTAGTGTTGAAATGATTCTCATTCTTGTCATGCTGACAGATGTTACCTCAGAATACTTTTTTGCTTTACCCGCCTGTAGTTCATTTTTCCCCTTCAATCATAATTTTAAATTTTTTTGGAAATTCTCCAGTTATTATTCAGACCTTTTTCAATGAATTATCAGAAACTAAAGTGCTACCACTAGTCTCTTCATATGTTCCTTCACTTCTTCTATTCTGCCTGTCCTCAGATTGCAGCAGAATGTCACTTTCATGAACAGATGGGCCCACAATCCTTTTCTCGTCAAGCACAAAGAGGAAAGAGATGAGAAGGAGCCGTGGCTGCTGTTGAGCCTACCTCCTATTGATTACAGATCCTTATAGGATAGTGTCTGAAGAAGCCCAGCTGGGAAGGGTGATCATGGACTTGACAAAGAAGACAGAACTTTTCCAAACTGGAAGAAAAGAAAGTTGTTCTACTATAAGAAAAAAAAAAAAATAATAGTGTGTGTGAATACACATGCCATGAAATATATATGTAAGGGGCACATGTCCTGTCTTTTCCTGCTGGCAAAGTGAGTATTTACCATTTGTGTGACAGACTGTCTTTACCCAGCAATTAGGAGGCCTTTGGAAGAGGAGTCCAACACCTACGTTCTAAACAGGCAACTAGAGCTACTATTGTTCACCCATAGCAGCAGTGAGGATTCGTTATCCAAAATACACCACATGGAACAAGCAGTCCCTGAAGGGCTTGTTCCCTTGAATACAGCTGGTTGAAAAAAGTAACAGCCTAGCAGTGGACAAGACTTGAGCTTCTGTTTTTAAAATGCAGCCTGGGGTAAGGTCTTTGGATCACAGATGTTCAGATGTGGTTGTAAGATGTCTCTATCTGGCAAGAATTACCCTTATTCTTGTGCATTTCTCTGCATTAGGAGGAGTATTGCCAGCTAATTGAGGGAAGTGATCCTTCCTCTCTGCTCTGCACTGGTGAGGCCACACCTGGAGTACTGCATCCAGTTTTGGGCTCCCCAGTACAAGGGAGACATGGACATGTTAGCGAGAGCCCAACAAAGGTCCAGTGGAGCATTCCTCCTGTATGTAAGGGGCACATGTCCTGTCTTTTCCTGCTGGCAAAGTGAGTATTTACCATTTGTGTGACAGACTGTCTTTACCCAGCAATTAGGAGGCCTTTGGAAGAGGAGTCCAACACCTACGTTCTAAACAGGCAACTAGAGCTACTATTGTTCACCCGTAGCAGCAGTGAGGATTCGTTATCCAAAATACACCACATGGAACAAGCAGTCCCTGAAGGGCTTGTTCCCTTGAATACAGCTGGTTGAAAAAAGTAACAGCCTAGCAGTGGACAAGACTTGAGCTTCTGTTTTTAAAATGCAGCCTGGGGTAAGGTCCTTGGATCACAGATGTTCAGATGTGGTTGTAAGATGTCTCTATCTGGCAAGAATTACCCTTATTCTTGTGCATTTCTCTGCATTAGGAGGAGTATTGCCAGCTAATTGAGGGAAGTGATCCTTCCTCTCTGCTCTGCACTGGTGAGGCCACACCTGGAGTACTGCATCCAGTTTTGGGCTCCCCAGTACAAGGGAGACATGGACATGTTAGCGAGAGCCCAACAAAGGTCCAGTGGAGCATCCCTCCTGTGAGGAGAGGCTGGGAGAGCTGGGGTTGTTTAGTCTGGAGAAAAGGAGGCTGAGGGGAGACCTTATTGCTCTCTACAACTACCTGAAAGGAGGGTGTAGAGAGGTGGGGGTCAGTCTCTTCTCCCATGTAGCAGGTGATAGGATGAGAGGAAATGGCCCTGAGTTGTACCAGGGGAGGTTTATATTGAATGGCCTCGAGTTGTACCAGGGGAGGTTTATATTGAATATTGGGAAAAATTTCCGGAGGTTTATATTGAGTATTAGGAAAAATTTCCTCACTGAAAGGGTTGTGGAGCATTGGAACAGGCTGCCCAGGTCACCATCCCTAGAGGTATTTAAGACAGGTAGATGTGGTGCCTAGGTGCACAGGTTAGTGGTGGACTTGGCAGTGTTAGGTTTACAGTTGGATTTGATTTTAAAGGTCTTTTCCAACCTAAATGATTCTATAATTCACCAGCTTCCAAAAGGGCACTACTGTTCCAGGGTGAGCCTGGTGCTAACAGCCAGGCTATTTACAGTTATTACATTAATTTATATAACCATAAACCTAAATGATTCTATAATTCACCAGCTTCCAAAAGGGCACTACGGTTCCAGGGTGAGCCTGGTGCTAACAGCCAGGCTATTTACAGTTATTACATTAGTTTATATTCCCCCCAGCTGCAGCTCTAACAACGTTATAGATCCCAGGTGAAGATCATTCCCCATGGCCATGCCTTTGAACAAAACTATTTGGAAAAGACAGGTAACTGCATCTTTACAAGTCTCTGCTTTTCTCTTAGTTCTTGCAACAGCTCAGTTATGCTATAGCTCCTCTCATACACACGTGCACACTCGTGGTGTGGAGATGGTGTAGGGGTAAGAAGCTCTTCACCTGTAGGACTCTAAGAAAACATCACTAGTCTTTTTCTAGCCTATTGTACCACCTTGCTGTACATCATGTGAAAAGAAAAAAAAATTAGTGATTCTTGACT